TATCTCCCTTTTGAGAAACTCCCATCTGTCTTGAACGCCCTTCTCTTTAGTATTCCTGACCATGGGATCACCTCCGGTATTTCTCTAAGTTTACTAAAATCAGCTTTCCTAAAGTCTAGAATGTGTGTCTGACTATGCCTGGCTTCTCCTTTCCACTGTATAATAAACTCAAGGAGGACATGATCACTCCCGCCTAAGGATCCAACTACTTGCACCCCGTTAACTAGGTCTTCCCTGTTAATTAGGATCAGATCCAAAATAGCTGACTCCCTTGTTGAAGGAAATTTTTGAAGGAAATAAAAATACATTTAACTCAACTGTACTCTGTTTTAAATGTTCATTCCTGCTGTTGGTTGGAGTATAATGGAAATGTGATGAGCTTTTCAAGAATAACACAAAGTCTTGCCAAATATTATTTGAAAGTCAACATTCCCACCTGGGTTTTTTGTGATTAGTGACTCAGCCTTTAAAAAGCATCTCATGTTCATGAATTGAAACCTTGTTAAAATGTTTCAATGAATCACTTCCCTGGACATTTAATTAGCCCTCTCCTCTCACCCATGCCAAACTTCCCCTCCCAACATTTCTTTTAAAGCCATCTTTTCATCAATCCTACTTCATCAAAAATGAATTTTGAATCCGGTGACACTGTTGCACATACTTTAATTAGTCTTGGGGTAATAAGTTTCTTTATTTCAACTTTTTGTTTTTCTAGTTTGCATTCCAGCAACACACAGTAATCAAACTATAGAAGTTTTCTTTAAAAAATAAAAATAATTAAATTACCAACCTATAGTAGCCAGAAACTGCTAAGTAAAACAGCATGTAATGCAAAATGGAACAAAAATATAATTTCCCCCTGCACTTGCCTACAAAAGGCTCCTTGAATCCTCTTGCTACACTAATTTGGCCCTGATGCTGTTTTGTTGCTAGCTAACAAAAGAGTATATTGTATTCCTACACTTTGATCCATTCAGTGAATAACTAAGGACTTCTTGACCTGAGAAAGCTTGTTCAGTGGGCTTCCTAGCACCAGTAATGGTAATAGCTTCTCTTCAAGTGCAGGGTTATTGTGTCAACTGCAGGGCAAAATGTCTTATTTTGACTATACCATTGCAGAGAGCCAGCCATGAATGGAAATGTGTGCTTTCTTAACTCTGCTCTTTTGTTATTGTTTGTTGTTAACTACTCTTGACCCATAGCAACTCCATAGATGAGACATCTCCAAGACCCCCTGTCCTCTACTGCTCTGCCCAGCTCCTGCAAAATCATACCCATGACCTTCTTAATAGAGTCCATCCATCTAGCATGCAGCCTTCCTCTCTTGGCCAAGTGGGGATTTGAACCCTGTTCTCCAGAGCCATATTCCAATACTCAAACCACCACACCATGCTTTGTGACAACAGCAATTTCCAGCCATCACAAATTAGCACTGAGAAGAAACTGAAATAATTTAGACTTTCATACAGTAGCAGAAACTGGTGCTTAATCTTGATTCATGTCATTCAAGTAGTTCATAATATGGGCCATGACAAGTGCATTATGTTGACTGTGAGGCTGCAATGTGCCCTCACACTACTTTATGCAGTTCAAACCTCATTGACTTCCATGGCACTACTAAATTATGAAAGAGAAATATACAAGATGATGGGATCCAAACTTTACTGAATCTCTTAAGATTCAGGAGAAAAACTCACACTAATGTTTATTTAAAGCACTAAGAGTCATACCACAGTGCAAAATAGCTGCACAGACACAAACTATCCAGATTGCAAGCATGCAATGAATTAGTTATGGGTGTGCTTTTCCCCTTCAGCCACAGATGATGAGCAATCGGTTTTTCCATTGTAACTGGAAATATAATATTGGTGTCCTCATCAGGTCACCTTATTTGGAAAGCAAGAGAAACATAGTAGTAAGTTCACATCTTCTCTTATAAGGATTTGGCATACTTTCAGCCTTTGCAAGAGGCTTACAAAACTTGTGTTCTCATTCTGCGGAAACAGTGGCTTCTGAATTTTCCAGTTCTACTAGTTAAGAAAACCGAAAACATTTAAACTAAACAGACTTCATCAATTGCTCTACTGTTACAAAATATTTGCTATAGTTGTTTTGCTAGGGATCTCTATGCAGGGCACAATAAAGCACTTGATTTCAAGACTAAAATCTGATTTCAGATAGAGAAGTTCTAATATACACATGGGAGCCAAATGTGCTAGAGTCAACTAACAAAAGTTTACGTTCCTATATCAGCTCTACAACACTAAGAAATGAAGTGATGTGAATCAATTACATCAATTTTTTAAAAAAGATTTACTCCTAAATTTGAGAGAGGTCTCATTCAATCATAATGAGAACAAAATTTTCAAGTTATAATCCTGTGCACACATATCTGGGACTTAGTCCCATCAAATGGAGCACCCCCATTGCTTTTCTGTGTACATATGTATAAGAATGCACTGTAAGTTTCATTACAGGCCCCAATAAAAGCATATTTATTTAGGACAGGGGTAGGCAACCTTTTTGAGCCGGGGGCCGGGTTGTTGTCTCTCAGACAATTGACGGGCCAAAGCACCAAAAATAAATAAATAAATAAATTAAAATTAAAATTAAAAAAGAATTAAAAATTTTAAAAAATGCATGCACACTCTCTCAGCCCCAGAAAAGCCATGGCAAAACCCCTGTGAAGATTTTGCCAAGAAAACCCCAAGAACAAGTAATAACAACAGTAATCAATATCATCATGGGGGGGCGGCGGGGGGGGGGCGGCGGCGGCAGGACCGGTTTGGGGCCGGTCCAAAGGCCTTGCTGGGCCGCATCCGGCCCCTGGGCCTTAGGTTGCCTACCCCTGATTTAGGAGAAAGGCACTTCTGTTCAAAGTGGATTACTCCTTGGTAAGCACATTTAGGTTGTTGTTATCTGCCTTCAAGTAGCTTCTGACATATGGTGACCTTAAGGCAAACCTACAATGGAGTTTTCTTGACAAGAGGTTTGCCACTGTCTTTCCTTGAGGCTGAGAGCATGTGACTTGCCCAAGGTGACTCAATGGATTTTGTGGCGGAGCTGGAAACTGAACCCTGGTCTCCAGAGTGATAGTCCAGCACTCAAACCACTATGTCATGCTGCCTCTTTAGGATTGCAGTCTAAAAGAACCTTGAGTGTTTCACAGGACACCTCATATAGCAGAAATCAAGTATTATTATTACTGTCACATAACCAAGTCTTTCCCAGCTTATGGAAACTCTTAACATGAACCTATCAGAGAGTTTGGTTGTTGTTGTGCTTTTTTTTTTTTTTTTGCAGAATTTGTTCAGTGGGTTTGGCCTTGCTATCCTGAGGCTGAGAGAGTGTGACATGCACAATGTCATCCAGTGGGTTTCCATGGCTGAGCAGGGATTAAAACCCTGGTCTCCAGAGTGATAGTCCAACACTCAAACCACTACACCATACTGACCCCAAGCATTATTATTAAGTACTAATAATAGGCACAATTAAAACTGCTCCTATTGATACTATGAACTTGCACAAACTAGCAATGCTGTTTAAGGAGCATTTTTTCAGCCTAAGGTTTATACTGGCATAACCACGTCATTAGATAAAATCCAATTTAAATGTAATTTATTTGCCTTGTGCCCTGTGTCCTCCAGTATGTTTCCTCAATTACAGTGTTTCAAAATGCAGAGATACTGGAGCTGAACCATTTGAACTGGTTCACAGAACTGCCATCTATTAAGCCAAAGTTGAGGGGGGGGGGGAGGAGAGGAACTGGATGAGGAAAGATTGTGAGGACATGGTGCTTGAAAGGAAAGCACCTGGCAGTTTCCTTTATTACAAGGGGATTTTGTAGCACCTTGGAGACTATGGGCCTGAACAGATTGCCAGAAATAATCCAGTTTGAGACCACTTTAACTGTCCTGGTTCATTCAATGCTAGGGAATCATGAGAATTGTAGTTTTTTTCTGAGACATTGAGCCTTCTCTATCAGAGAGCTCTGGTGCCATAATAAACTACAGCTCCCATGATTTCCTATCATTGAGCTAGGGCACCTAAAGTGGTCTAAAGTTGGAATGTTTCTGGCAGTCTGTTCAGGCCCTAACTGAAAGAGAGACATTGGTAGCATGAACTTTTGTAGACTTGGGCCTACTTCCTCAGATGCATTTGGTGGATTGGAAAAGCCAAAGAGAGGCCTATTTCACTGGACAATCCAC